ATATATATATATATATGGCAGCACAACTTGCTGCTACATCTGCTGCAGCAAGACAACCCCACATTACAAGTAGAAGATAAAACCTTTTGAGGCCTGCATAGACACTGAAAGCAATTGCTATTAATTAGAGATATTGTTAATTATTTATTTACTTCCTCACCTACGATAGCCAGCATTAATGAGAGAAGAAATAGACATATCAATCTAAACTCAGAATATATATATATATATACTTATATATATATATATATATACGTATATATATATATATATTTATTTATATATATAGATCTTATCTGTCTCTTCATTCTTTGTGTCTCCCCCTAACTCATTTGAATAACAAATAAATGTAAAGGGTGTTTCAGCAGATTAAATGTGTGCAGCATAACGCGCTGTCTCTTCTGCCCTACTTCTAATCCCCAAACCCTAAACCCTAAACCCTAAACCCTAATTGCCAAACTATAAGCCCCAAACCATAGACCTTGTCCACGTCGAGACCTTCACTAATCCCTAGCCCTACTGCACTTAGGGTTTAGGGTTTAGGATTTAGGGTTTACGGCTTAGGCTTTAGGCTTTAGGGTTTAGGGTTTAGGGTTTAGGGTTAGGGCCCTTCATGATGCATACAGTTTTTTGTGTTGATGTCATCCTCGAGTGTCTCAACATATAATAATGGAGACAGGGGGCAGATGCAGAGGAGACTCTACAGCGCCTAGGTGAAACCCTAAACCCTAAACCCTAAACCCTAAACCCTAAAGAATTTGAATGCTATTTAAACAGCAGATGCGACAGATCGCAAGGGGCCCCCGGGGTTGGGGGGCCCTCTCTCTGTGTTGCTACCAGCTGCAGCATCTCTTTAGTGTTTCTTCTTCGTTTTAATCATTAAATTTCATATATCTTGTGGAATTATATTGAGGATTGAGAATCCAGAACGAGGGTTTAGGGTTTAGGGTTTAGGGTTTAGGGTTTAGGGTTTGGGGGGTTTAGGTTTAGGCCTCTGTGCCTTCGCACGACACCTTCGGTCTTCTGGTGTTGGGGGATACATTTTTGAGCGTTACTTCATTAAGGACTTTAATTTTAGGGTTTAGGGTTTAGGGTTTAGGGTTTAGGGTTTAGGGTTTAGGGTTTGGCAGATGCGGTGACTCTTCTGCGCATGTCCGGCCTCGTTAAGGTGGTGGGCCCAAGCGGCCCCCAGCGGCTGCTGCGGCCCCTTCGGGTTATACACTTTCTGCAGGGGCTCCAGCAGCAGCAGCAGCAGCAGCAGAAGATCCAGCAGCAGCAGCAGCAGCAGATCCAGCAGCAGCAGCAGCAGCAGATCCAGCAGCAGCAGCAGCAGCAAAAGTACCGGGGACTTCAGGTGTCTCCTGATGAGCTGACATTTTCTGCGGGCTTTCTGTCTGCTGCGCCATGCGGTTTGCGGCAGAGCAGCAGCAGCAGCAGCAGCAACAGCAGCTGCAACAGCAGCAGCAACAGCAGGAACAATTGCATGCTGCAGCAACGGCGTTGGGCCCGGGCTTTGACAAGAGACTCTGTGGCTCTTGTGTGAGTTGCTGATGAAGTTCAGTGTTGCTGCTGCTGTTGCTGCTGCTGCTGCTGTTGTTGCTGCTGCTAGTGCTGCTGTTATTACCGTTGCTTGAGCTCCTGTTGCTGCAGCAGCAGCAGCATCAGCAGCACAGTTTCTGCTTCGTCCGGTTTCTTTGCTTTTACAGTACGATGGCTCCACCGCGCTTGCTGCTGCTGCTCTCGCTGCTGCTGATCTTGCTGCTGCT